CTTAATTACATTTCTTATCAAAAGAAGTTGTTGCAAATTTTGTTGTGTACTTTAATATAAGGGGTGAATATCACACTATATTTAACATTTAAATTTCTACATACTCATGGAATGGAATAATTACCATGCTGTGCCCTATCCCCTCATTGCCTCAGGGGCCAAGTACTGCGGTGTACTGCAGATGGAGTATGTTAGTTTATCCTGCTGACAAAACATTTTATGTGTGACAGGACTTCAGAAAGAGATGCCACTCACTTGCTGTGGTACTGGAAGCAGAACATTGAGGACTGCTAGAACTCAAGATTGCCACTGGAAGCAGCACAGAGCCAGTTCAGTTCTGTTTCTCAAACATCCAGCTTAATGTATATTCCAGTCTCCTTGGTCTTAGTGATTATGTCCTTGAAAGCATCCATGAAGCTGAACAATGCATTGGTAACACTTCGCTTTTGCCAGGCCACTGTTCTGTGAAGACATTCAAGAACGCAGTCTGCCATCACAAAAAGATCAATACAGATGGAAAAAACATTTTTGATGGTCTCAGTTTAGGGATAACAAAATCTGTGCATTTTATCATTTTCTTCAGCCATTTGTTATGATTTCTTCAAAAATAAAAAAGATCTCCGATAATCTTGATACAAGAATCGTATGTAACACCAATGATGACTTGGCTGAGTTTATGAGTTTTGGTCAGATATTGGCTGTTCATAATTGTAAAAGTTTGTACACAGATAAAAGTTAAAACTGTAACATCTTCAACTTTCCTGCATTTAGTGAACTCGTGTTGAGCTGCAATCATCTTGCTTCTGTAACAGTCACTGCTAGATGGCTCAGAAGTCAGGCCTGTTTTTTTTAAGCAGAGAAATGCTAATTGCACTTACCGCCTACTGCATCACTTCACGGGAAAATTTAATTTTATTGCTTTATGAACATTGTTTACAATAGCTAAACGCTGAATCATAGTGAAGACAACACAAGAGAATTTTGTAATAATTTCTGCTCTACGTTCGATTATTTGACAAAGTTTTGCAAAAAACACGTTTGGCAGAATTTCTCTGTATGTCAGGCGAATAGATAAACATATTTGTACTTTCACATGTTATCATTTGTATTAAGAATAACGAACACCAACTTACTTACCAAGCAATCTGTTAACTTCAAAACTTAGACTAGACATGCCTACAATGAGATTTTCCTTCACCACAAACATACTACAACAACTCAACCAGCCATAACAGTTCTAGACTGTTTGTATGGCGTCACCAGAGATGTCAGTGCGAACAGAGCGCGCTCAATTCAAATGAAAGATAATTAAGGTGACGGCATTGTCCTCTAATGTACCCGAAATCTTCTACGGGGAAACGACGAGGCCCTGTAACAGGCATCATAATTACAGGCATGTCCGAATGTACCTTTCAAGCACAATGTATATTACAATCAAGGAGGCGCCTGCACCTCAAATGGCTTTCTCCTTGGCGACCTGCCGAGTTCCTGACCGTAGGACTCAATGGTAATGTGTTTAAATATTTCCATATATAGGCTAATGTGTAAACACTGTTTAATTATATTATAGAAATTTACAAGCTGCTGTAAACTAGATAGAGCCTTTTCTGTTGAGAGATTTTTTCTAAATCCAAATTGTTCCTTTACATGGATGTTGTTTAAGTTTAAGAAATTATTTACTCTCTTGCACATAACTTTCTCAAAAATTTTAGAAAATGTTGACAGCAGTTAAATAGGTCTGTAGTTAGAGATGCAGGATTTTTCACCCTTTTTATATAGGGGTTTTACTTTTGAATATGTAAGTCTTTCAGGAAACATTCCTATAGCCATTGAATGATTACAAAGATAACTTAATGGAATACTTATATAATTAAGTTTAAGTACTTTAGATGAAATTCCATCATAACCACATGAATTTTTTGACTTGACAGAAGTTATTATACTTTTAATTTCATTTGGTGTGTGTGGTAGTAATAAGATTAATGTTCGGAAATCAATTAGGAATTGCCTTAGCCAAGAACTTCATTGCATCTTCGGTTTTTGGGGTATTGGTGTCACTGCTGTTCATTCTTTCTACAATCGTTAAAAAGTAGGTATTAAAATAGTTAGTTATAAGTTTAGGATCATTTACTGTTATTATTTATCATTATTGGTGGGCTTACAATGTCTCTAGATGGTTTGCTAGTATCTTTTTTTTACAATTTTTTACTTGTTTTCAGATTACCATCAATTTATTGTAATGCATGCTTTTAGCTTCTCTAATAACTAGAGGTAAAATTTTCCAATTTTTTCTATAGTGTTGCTTCAGTAGTTGGTTATTACTGTACCTGTTATTTAGGTAAAGAGCTCACTTATATTTGCATGTTTTGATGCCTTTAGTTAACCATACATTGGTTTCAGACAAATTTTTCTCTGTTTTAGTAGGAAAACTTTTTTAAAATATGCTTAAAAAGATGTTTAGAAAAGAATTGAACTTCGAGTCCATATCACCACCACTGAGTAATAATTCCCAATATTCACTACTGAGATGTTGTATAAATTCAGTTAAAGTGACTTCATTCATCACTCTAGTTACCTTCTTATCATTGT